GGCAGCTCTTCCCGACAGGCAACAGGACCTGGGGGAGGATGTGAAAGGTCCTGGCTCTGCTTCCGAAAGAGGATTTGAAAGGTGGGGCTCGGAGAGGCACAGGAGGCCGGGCCGAGTGAGCAGCGGCAAGGGGGAAAGCACGGCCCATTTCTGTGGTCCAGCCAAAATGGCTGCTTGCCCTTCCTCTGGAGGTGGAAGTGCTTTCGTGTACCTCTCCCCATGCTGCAGAAATTTCTCCCTTGAGAGAAAATGTCACCAGCCTGCCTGGTTTCCAGCACGTTGGGACATTGGTAGGTTGAAAACATGCATACACTGTATACATTGTTCTCTTGTAAAAGCACGATGAGGAGTCAGTCATTAACTAGCAGAGGCGGACACTTCCGGAGCAGATAAGTGACTATAGATGCAAGTCACAGGAGGGTATGGCTCTGCTCTACACTGACCCAGCCTCTTGGTCCCTCTGGCCAGGTGCTCTCTGTCCTGATCTGGCAGTGGTGCTCCAGCTGTGACTGGACATGCCCGGAATCGAACCTGCGTCCTTCTGAATGCAACACATGTGATCCGCCCTTCAGCATAGGCGGGTCCCTCCCAGGCCAGAGACTGGCTGAAGTGGGTTTTCATACAATGCCACTGATGGGCCCCCATCCAGCTTTTCTGGCACCTCTTCTTAGCAATGGCTCCCCATTCAGTGCTGTTGATGCTGCCATCACCGCCACAGACTTCCTCCGAGTTACTTCATACGAAGTGGCTGTGCTTTGGGAGGGGGGAAGCCAAGGTGCTGTTGGGCTCCAATCCATAATAGGTGGCTGCCATCTTAGATTTTTCGCAATGCTATGCCCAGTGTAGACATTGGGCCTATCACTGTGGGAGCCTAAAATGGCGGCTGCACACGGTGGCTCCCATTCCAAAGCGCAGCTTCCTGGGTAAGAATGTTGGGGGAGAGAATGGTGAAACCAGGAGAAATCCTGATTATAATGGTCATGCTGGACAGGGATCCAATGGAGGCCGTGGCTAGGCTTGCATCGGCTGCAGCTTCCATGCTGCCAGGTGCAAGTCAAGGAGGGCGTTTCTCTGTTCCCCTTGACTGTCATGTTCTCCCTCCATCCCTTGTCCTTTCAGGAGGAACTGCGGACTTGAGCTTCCATCCTCGCGTGAGCAAACATAGGTGGGGGAACAGAGCCCGATGTCGGACTTTGACCCCACGAAACAGCTCCTGTCGCACAAAAAGTAAGTTTGTGTAAATATGACTATCTTGTTTCCTTGTTGTGCTCCGCGCCTGCTGACCTGCTCTATCCTTTTACGAGTTCCTCAAAGGCTGTCACAAAGAAGAAGGTCAAGATGATCTTGCCCCTCACCCCCTCCCTCAGTTAGCTAAACAATTAGGCAGTGGCACCTCCTGGTCCTCTGTGTCACCGCTACTTTGTCTAGGCCAGGGCAAGAAACGAGTCCGGGAATTCTTGCTTCTGGGTCCCTGCCTACCGTTGATGCTGGCCCTGCTTGGAAGCCTTGCCAGAGCTCCAGGGGGGAGCCCCGGGGGGAGCCCTGGCTCTTCGTGGGCTTTTGTCCGCCCTGCCTATGGGTCTGGTGTGGCCTGGAACCTTCCAGAAGGGTGAGATTACCGCTCCCAGTTTTTCTGATAGGCTAGACTGGCCTCTGGGAAGCTGAAGCCCAAAACATATGAAAGGCCCCAGGCTGGGATAGGCTGCTTTCATCCTATTTTCCCCGTTTCACATTCCGTTGTGTAATTTATATATAAATAGGCTTACAGCCTAGTCCTTCTAGAACACGAACAACAACTCTCTAGTTAAAATACATCCCTAAACTTCAACCCAGCTGCCTTTTATACTTCAACAACCTGCCTTCCCAACAGTCCATTCCCATTTAGCATAGGAAGGAGCCATTTTGCTGTTGTGATGATGATGAAACTTTTTGGAGTCAGAATCCTTTGCTGATCTACTGCAAACCCATCCAGAGATCTGCCAGTAGATTCTCACCAGCAGGTCTACTGTCTGCGAGCCCTCATTTCGGAGACACAGGCTCACCTGAGCTACCCGTGCCCCTGATGTCTTGATATCCATCCTCTCTGTTTCTAACCTTCCCACCTTGAGCAGAGAGGTCCAAAGGGTCTCCGTTGGGTGTTCACGTCAATGCAAGTGACTGGGAATCTTAATAAAGCAGAATGGCCCAGAGCTGAGAGGACCATGAGACTGTATGGGTTTGTGTGAAATGCCATACCCCCAAAGCTGGATGTGGCTGCAGGAAACTCTTCCCAGGATTTTTAAGATATGGTGTTTTACCGAAAGCACACGGCTTTAAGAATTCAGCCAACGTGCACCAGTAAAAGCTGCTGCCCCAAACAGTTCCTGTTGCATTCATAGGTACCGTTGCACCAAATGGCCTCCTTTCGATTGTTCATCCGGGCACACAAATGTCTAAGTCATGTTGGGGGGATATTTGAATGACCCAGAGGGTCTGAAAACTGTGGCAAGCCGTGCATGCTCCCATCATGCAATGAACTTTCAGAAGTTCTCCTAGAAATGTGCTGGGATTCAGGAGGGGTGGACCTCTTGATGCAACATGAGGAAGAGGAAGATTGCAAGGGTGCTCGCTGGTCCTTTGGAACCTGGAAGGGGTGGGTGCGCAGATTCAGAACAATCTTGTGCTCCTTCCGGCCTTCTCAAGCACTTTGTGCAAAGCGGGTTATGGGGGTGTTGTGGCTTCCTTTGACAGTCTTTCGGTTTCTCTGATGTGTCAAACCTTTCCTTGCCCACCTCTGGATTGCATAATGAAGTAGTTATGAGTTGTGGTTAATGAGAAGCTCATTTAACATTTATGTGTTTGGAAATGCTTTTATACAAACATGGAACATTATAGAGATATTGTACAGCAGTGAACAGACTCGTGTGTGTGTGTGTGTGTGTGTGTGTCCATGTGAATGCCTATATATATATATGTATATGGGTCAAAAGGAGACTAGAAAGATAACACACCAACCCTCATCCTGCATGCAAGCATAGGCAGCATCCAAGCTAACTGCAGATTTTCAGAGGTAAGAAATTGATTTATCTCCTTAATTACATTTTACTTTACGTTCCCTTCCCTTCAAAGGAGCAACTTTAGTCAGTTGCGTGGAATCAAATTTTCAGCCTCAACCGGATGCCATGGGCAGAAACATATCTAGAGAAAGTTCCACAAAAGCCAAGAAGCAATTGCTTATTGAACCAACAAATGGTATAGCTACCACCATCACCAGGAACAAGCGAGGTGCATTTCCAGGAATGGTCTCAAATTCTGAATCCAGACTTGGAATGGCAAACGTTGCTAGTTGCTCATGAGAACACTGAAATGAAGAACAGCAGAAGAAAGTGGAAGAGCGGAGGTCTTCTGGCACGGATATCTGCACAGCTCAATATTGCAAGGCATTTATGGGTGAGGAGCATTCTGGACTTGATAAATGAACCTTTGCATCCTCATAGTCCATGATGACCGACGGGTGGGAGGAAGATTAGGCAAGAACAAGCCCCAGAGAAGATAAAGATGGGTCTCTTACAGGCTGAAATCTATGGACCTCACTGCTCAGTAAAGATGTTGAGACACAATCAAGTATAGTTGCAAATATATTGTATAATATCGATTCTATCAGTAGGTCCAGAGATATTGTCTGGAGAATTGTTACCCAGGAACACACGATGCAGCCACCTTGCTGAAATGTAACTGGTCTGAATCTGTTCAGTGCCTGGATCAGAAACTACTTGGGAATAAACCAGCTTGAGCCCCTGTGCAAGTCAAGCAGGATTAAAAATGCTGTGACTATAGGAGGCTTTAAGGGCAGGGTTTTCTTCATGACTAGAACCAGTGGCTTGAAATGACAGGAATGCAGAGTTCAGTCGAACATTAGGAGAATTTTCCAAATGAGAAAAGCTGAAGCAGTGGAGGTTAGGGATATAAAGGAACGCACTTTCAGTTCATTTAATTGGAACAAAACTGTCCCAATTCACAGCTCCCGCAACGGAAAGCAGGTCCACGCAGAACCTGTACTCAAAATCCATTCATTTCTGAGCTTGCCATTCAATTTGTGGTGCAGAATTTGTGTGCTTCTAAAGCGTGCATGAAAATGTGTGTGCATTATAAATGTGCACAAACAGGCTTGAATTTATGGTAGAAAAATGTGTAATTTTCCAAAAGACACACAACTGATATGCACCATTGGAAAAATGTGCATGGGAGAGGCAAAAGGCAAAACTCGCATTCTGATATGGAAATGAGGCGGAACGTGGATTGACGTTCAGTCAGATAACCTTGATAGTGATACATTTTCCTGATGTGCACATCTGGGGAAGTAGACTGCTCTACTAGGTGGGGGCTTATGCTGCACTGGGGGGCATTGAAGCAGAAGCTGGATTGCAATCTTCAGGGATGGAGGCATTGCTTCCTGTATTAGATAATTAGCCCCCCCCAAATCCTTCATTTTCTGATTCTATGATCATCAGCATATTGATGCTAATTTTTCCAAATGGAAACTCTCAGAATTAAGGCATTCCCTTGAGTTTCGGGGTGCAGAAAGAAGTATTTGATTTGCCCAGTTTAGTTCATTTGCAAAAGCACCGCCACATGAATGCATATTTTCAAGCACAAGACAATTCTTGTACACAAAATCTGATTCAGGCAGTGAGACGATAGAATGAAAGGTGCTTGCTATTCCATAAAATTTAATGCAATGGATTCAATATGTCCCACATACCTAGTCAAGATGCATCTCCCTTCTCCCTTATTATTGTCTGCTGGTGGGTGGGGGGGGAGAAGACGTGCAGAAGCAAGCTTGGCCTCTGCACCAGTTTCACCCTCCCCGGCAGACAATAATCCTCTGAGATTGGAGGGTCATGGGCACCCACGCTGGATCACGCTTTCCGTGGGCTGCAACAAGCCGGCTTCCCCACCGACTTTGACCAGCTTTTGATATTCCTTCTCTCTCTCTTCCCCGGTTTTGCTTCCAGAAACTGCTGTGACCTGTCAACTGGCAGCTGTGGAAACTCCTGCATCATGTCAGCCCTTGGTATCTTCTGCCTCCTCTTGGGTATCTTAGCCCTAAATGTTGCTGAGACAGGTACGAAGAAGCAACGCTCCTGCTGGGCCAGAGTGTTCACTGCTGTGATTCCCCACCCGCTGCAAAATAAAATAAAATAATAAAATAAAATAAAATAAAAAATGAGGGCTGGGCGGAGCAAAAGTGTCCTCTCTGAAAACATTTTGATGTATTTGATTATGGATTTGTTGCCTCTGCTACTGCTTTGTTTGACGAGCCCTCCCGGGTCAGTTGTGCCTTAATGCTAATTGGGGGAAGGCCTCCTGGAGGCTGTGGAATCCATCTTTTGATGGCCAGCTGGGAACAGCACCTGAAGGGATGGCACAGGAAGAACACTGGATGTTTTCCCTCTTCTTCTTTCCCCAGAGGCAGTGACGTGTCTTTCGTGTCCGGCCACTAATGTCACCGACCCTTGTCAAACTAATTGCACAAGTGGAAACCAGGGCGGCTGCCTCTCTTTCTCCTTAAACAACACACTGGGTGAGTCATCATTTGCTGAAAGGGGGAGCCCCCCACCTCTCCAGGCAGCTGGTCCCACTGTTGCATTGCTCTGACCATGAGGCAGCTTTTCCTGATGTCCCGCCTGACTCTGGCTTGGCCCGTCCGAAAGTGTCTTGCTGTCAGCCTAGGGCCCTGGGCTTGAACGGGGAGCTGCAGGGCAGGGCAGCAAGCTCTCCTTCCTGGACCAGGGCGGCGCAGGCCTTCGATCTGCACCTCGGGCATCTTGGGGCAGGTAGAGCAAAGGTTGCTCACTTGGGCGAAATCGTGCCGCTGGAAATGGGGCGAGGGGCTGGTCTACCTCCAGCTGGGCAAGTCACTCCACGAAGAGCGGTGTTCACACTTCCCTCCCAGCTGGGCAGCCACAGAGCCGCCACCCTGCCCTTGCGCTCAGTAATGCTGTTCAGGACGCCCACATTCCCCGACGTCGATACACTGACTGCAGATGGTTGCTAGGGAATTCAGGCCCACCCCCACTGGGGTCCAAAGCAGCTGGAGCTGAGCGGCAGTTTGTGAAGCTGGGGATGCTGGGTCCTTCCGCATGCAGAGCAGGGGTTGTACCGTGGAGCAATGTCTTGTCCTTGTCCTTCTCCCCCATCTCTCTCTCTCACACACCATCCCCTTCAAATTCTTATATCCATTATATCCTTGGCTGAACACCTCTACCCTAAAAGGAAGTGGAACATAAGTCCATGTATCTGCATTTGTTACGATCCATCCCCTGCCCCAATGGCTTTATCCTTTCACTCCTTTTTGACCCCATGCAACTTTGTAAAATTACAGTCATGATACTTCTTAATTTCATTCCTCTACCACCCCATAGCCAAAGGTCTGTTCAAGGTACGGTCCATCTTCCTGCAGGCCCAGTGAAACTTTCCCCGTTCTCCCCACCTCCTGCCAGGATAGTTGGAAGAGGAGTAACCTGAGGGTTGGGGCTTTGTGGAGGAGAGGGAAAATTGGAGAGTGCAAAGGGATACCCCCCACCTTGTTTAATAGAAACAGTCAGAAGGAGTCTCCTGAGCCATCTAGTCTGACCTCTGGGCAGATGTAGCGGTCATAACATGATGTTTGGGCTATGAAGATGATTGTGGGGAAAAATTTGCACATGTGAAAAGGAATGACAAGAACAAAATGTACCTGATGCGATTTCTTTCACTTTTACAGATGGAAATCAGGAAATATACTATTATAGGGGCTGTTTATCTTTTGATATTGAAACATACCCTTCCATTTTTCATTTTGGGAAGGATAAGTATTATGTCTCCAACCTAACACTTTGTACTACGGACGAATGTAACAAAGACGCATATCCAGGTATGTATATATAAATCAAATATTAGTGCTTGATACTTCCCTGCTTGAGGGACTCTACAATTATTTGTTTAAAACATTTAACTTTCAAGCCGAGAGGGCTCTCCCAGAATAGGTTATGGATAGATAACAAAAGAATACAATCCCTGCTCTCAGGCTTACAACCTTAAAGAGAAAAGGGACTGAGTAAAAAGTGAATCAAGAAAATGTAGGCACTACTTCTTAAATTTAGCCAGCTCTTTTGAAGTCGAGCTGGAATAGAAACCATTCAGGGAGAGAAGGAACCAGAAGGAGCTGGTATCTCAGCAGAGCCGGGTTTTGACTGCCCAGTAAACTAAATGTCTGAACACGACTTCCATGGCTAAGCCTTCTAGTTTGGTTTCTCTTTTACATTCTCAATTCTCTCTTACTTTATAGTTGCACAAAACTTCACACCGAATGGATTATTTTGCAATGCTTGCTTCGACGCGGAACAAAGCACATGTGATGGGAAGACGATTCCTTGTCAAGGACTTGAATTTCACTGTGCTAATGCTTCTGGAATCAGAAAGAAAAGAGGTAATTAATTCATTAGTATTTCATAAGAAACTATGGTGTGGATATGTTGATTGTCACAGATACTACCTTTCAATAACGTTATGATTCTGGCTTTCCTATTTGCTACTTTGGAGCTAGGCAACCTACGAACCCCAGTGATTATTGTTTTATTTATTGTTTTTATTGTTTTATTTATTTTGTGTCTCAGGCACCATCCTGAGACACTGTAAAGGGTGGGATACAAAAACTTTAAATGAATGAAGTTGGATTCTAGGCCATATAAATGCTGAAACAGTCCCCCCACCTCTGCCCACTGCTGCATTTCCAGGGACTTTATTTTTATTTATTTATTTATTTATTAAAACATTTCTATGCCGCCCCATTTGCCGAAGGCTCGGGGTGGCTCACAGCATAAAATTAAAATAATAATACATTCAAAATATAAAACAAATAATATAAAATAAGTCACCCTGGCCAGATAAAATAAGCAAATAATATTAACAATTAAAATGACATTTAAATAAAAAGGTCTTCGCCTGGCGCCGAAAAACAAATAACGACGGCGCCAGGCGGACCTCTCTGGGGAGCGCATTCCATAGATTGGGCGCCACCACAGAGAAAGCCCTCCTCCGAGTACCTACCCTCCTAATTTCCTTCACGGAGGGTTCCCAGAGAAGGGCCTCTCCTGCAGACCTCAAGGGGCGGGTGGGCATATATGGACGTAAGCGCTCCTTCAGGTAACCAGGACCCAAGCCGTTTAGGGCTTTATAGGTCATCACCAACACCTTGAATTGGGCCCGGACTTCAATGGGAAGCCAGTGATGCTGACGAAGGTTTACTGCCATATTTTCTTGTTATGGCAAGACTTGTACGAGGGAGTTACCTGTGGATTGGTCCTCAGGTCTGGAGAAAATGGATATGTGCCATCTCCTGGGACAGGATCGTTGCGAAGAACCAAGCCTCTCAAAGCATCTTTTCTCTCCTTTGCAGAAACATCAGAATTGTCTAAATTTGCTGCTCAAGGGTGTACCACATTAAACCCAACTATGACTAAGGTGCCTTATCAAATGAACACAAAGGCAAATATATACACAGTGGATGCCATGAAACTGACTCCGGCAGAGGCGCAAGTCAAACCGACCAAGCCCGCACCCACGCCCACAACGCCCAGTAGCAGCCCAAGCAAGCACCCCTGGCAGAGTTTCTTCTTCTCCCTGTTTCTTCCCAGTCTTTCTTGGGCACTGCTGATGAAAAGGGAGTCCTAAAACAGGAGCCTCGTTATTGCCAGCCCCCCCCCCCGCCTCGATATTCCCTGCGCTAGTCTAACCCAGGTTAATTGAAGGAAGTCATCATCCAGATCCTTAGAGCTGACAAGCCAGAACTAAGCGGGAATGTTTTTGGAGCCCTGTGCAAATTCCTGCATGCCTCGCTGCCTCCAGAACACACTTAGCCGTGTCTCCTCCCGTGATGCAATCTCAGGCTCCACGATGGAAAATTTGCATTTTAATTCTACACAATCTGCATTTCTGCAATTATATTGCGGCTGACACTGGAGATTTTCTGCCACTCCCTACGTTTTGATTCTTTCCTTTAATGTGACAGTCTAGCTGCTGAAGTCGGCCGACAAAGCTTGCTGGATAGTGTCTTGTTGTAGGGTTGGTTTCAATAAAGGTATTATTTCATCTGAACTTGGTTTCATTCTAATGGGTTACGCATTTTGCAAGCAAACATGATTACCATATTTTCCCGTCTATAAGACGCCCCCATGTATGGACGCCCCCCACTTTTCCTACCCATCTCCAGCAAACGAGCTGCGGCCGCGCATGTGTGTGCCGCTTCGCCACCCCCCGT